TAAATGACGAACAATATATCCAAGACAATACATTGACTAATAAGTATTACATGAGGCGTGCCGGGAAAAAGCGAACACAATTCGATGGTTGCCTAAAAATTTCGGTGGTACACGTGATTTGATCATCGCATAACACAGTTAAGATGTTAATATTAATATTAATATAGATTATTAAAATCACTGTTGACAGGTTCACCCAACATGTAATAGTAATACAACTTGGGCAAAATTTTTACGATTATGTCACTCACAATAATGTTCACCCTTTACTGCTTAGAGGTAAGTTACCTGTCACTCATTCAATAATCAAAGGCTTTTTTTCTACGATAACGAGTTTTTGTTTCAGCGGCGTCAATCTCGTTTTCTTATATTTACTCATATCATAATAATAAATCTATCCTTTTGTTTGTTAATCGCAGATACGTCAACGAGACTCTTTTTTATATAATACCACTATCTAGTTGACTTGATGTCAATAAGAGCTGAAGTAAGAGAACGATTGCGAATACCTTTTATTACTATTGTTCAGACATTAATCAATATAATGCTTATTTTTCGTTGATTGTAGGCTTTGGAGACTTTATACTACGCTCTATGTTGGGGCAGTTGAAAATGGTTAAGATTGACTATACGTGACAGACGATACATTGCTGGGCATCTATTTGTCGTTCCTGATTTTCAAATGAAAATTTCCGTCATGCCAGACTTGATCGGCCGTTTCTTAATCCCTTATATAGTCCAGAACTGTCACGGTACTTTCGCCGCCAATGGTGGAGTTGCATTGTTCTGTGGAGTAATTTGATCAAACAAGTAGCTGAACGTGAGCGTAGAACAACAGCAACAATAGAAGTACACTGTAAAATTTTGAAGACAATGGATATCGCGAAACGACGTTTACCGCTTGATCAATATCTCTATGCTCGCGCTGCCGTAATTCGAGATAATCAGCTGTTGATTGCAGTCTCCCCCAGTCATAGTAATAGTTTGTGAAAAATTGATGTTCGAAAAGTCAAAGATGCCCCTTAAGAAACGACAGCCTATGAATCATGGAGCAAAGATATCATCAATCTCTCACCAGCAGAAGAGCGGATTCTCGATAATTTTTTGAAAGCGTACGGAATTGAGAACGACGAGGCGATTTCACTCAGCGAGTCTGCGCTCGGGAGCTACGTGATCTAAGTTGGTATTAATCAGGGTACCATTTCAAGAATGCTCCGCAAAAAGGCTTCCGCATTGGGTCGCGACAACAGAGTTCTGCAAATGGCACGGATTCCAAGAGTATATCCTCAGTTTGGATGACACACGGCTCTACCGACCAAACGTCTTTGATATCTATAAAAATGCATTCGAACGCCTCGAAATACATACCACATGATCAAAAAGCCATAGATGTTATCAAAAGATGAGTAAACCGGACAAATGATGAAAAAGACCAGCAGCAAAAAAGTAGATCAATTAGTAAATATTATAGTGCGAGAAGAAGATACGCGACTTATAAACGCCGTCACTAAACTAACCAGCGATCGGCCTTTCGTTATTACTGGGTTCTTTACTATTGGAGAAGATAAAATGGTTCTTTGACAAAGATCAGGATCAGAGTATAATAGAGGAAGTTAGTCAGACTATTGAAAAAAAAAAAAGGAAAAAGAAAAAATATAAATGAAATCAGGACTTACAACATATTTCCCTCTGTAGTAGTGTTTGATATAAATTATCTCTAAGCCCCACGGACCGGAGCACTTGGCCGGTATTGACGGGCCTGGAGGAGCTTGGGTATCATTGAATTTAAATAACGAATAAAACATGTCGGATATCCTATTACTTGTCAATAAAGATTTTACTATTACTGTCGTGTTAACCAATCACGGGAGAGCGGATGATGATCAACACGGTTTGAGATTCAGCTTAGGCCGTCGAAGGTGCG